CAGAGACACTAAATAAATATGAGCAGAAAAACTAAAAACACTCCAAACATGAGCTTCCCAGATCATTACAGATACACTCTCTCTCGAGCGTTTTCTAAGGGAGTTTTATTCATTGTAAAACTTATTTTAAATATTTAATTAAACGCACAGGCCTGGTTTTCATGAACTGAGACATTTGCCATGACAGGTGACTGTATTCAGCCAAACTCTTCCATTTACAGGATTCCCAACACACTGGAAGAGAGTCTGGACTCTGTTATTTTTATATCCAGAGTCAATATAAAGTCAGCTTCGTCAAACTGAACTATTCAAAAAGCCATCAGCTCTTTAGAATCACATTCTGTTACTCAAATTACTAAAACACAAACCCAATCTTATTCCTAAATGACCATGATTGAGCTACAGTGTCAAGTCAAGTCGTCACCTTTATTTACGCAGCGCTTTTAACAATACAGATTGTGTCAAAGCAGCTTTACAGTATTAAATAGGAAAATAGTGTGTCCGTTGCCATTCACTCGCAAACTTCCCTCCGTCTCGTTTACTCAGATGTACATCATTGATTACGTTGCATGAGTGCCCACTACTGGCGGAACCCTTGAAATGGGCTGAATTGGAATGTCCTAAGCCCTTGATCACTTAGAATCCGCTATGGAGTTGGTTCATTTTTACATTTTTCCCCTTACGAATTTGTTTGGTGCAGCATTCTATGTGTATATGTAACCCCTCTCTCCCAGGTCCGCACCGCCACACCTCGTTCTTGTTCCGAGTGGGTCTCAAACCCGGGTGTCCGGCATGGGAGGCGGACGCACTAACAAGGAGGCTAAAGACTGCAGCCCCAAAGTCAGTCGCTAGTGCGTCTCTTGAGATCAGGAGAGGTTTACTTGCACAGCACCTACTCGCTGGCCTCCACTACATATATAGGTATGTATGCTTGGGCTGTTATAAATGTAAAAAAAAAAATCATTTATATATTATAGAGTTGTTTGGGGTGGGGATAAATTGAATGCGATCTGCAAAGACATTATAATTGTGTTGCATTGTGGTCCATGGAGCGGCCTGAAGTGTGCATATGAAGCAGACTCGCTCCCTTTGTCAAAATCGAGGGGTCGAGGGTCTGTCCATATAAACTTCCCTCGTCCACTTCACGAAGTGGAACGCACTTCAGAATGGCAGCCGGGATTCCCCCGAGGGGAAGTGCTTAGGGAAGTATGCGAGTGCATGTCTAAAAGTGGAGTGGAACATAGCCAAGTTCTCAATGAACGAGTCACTGAATCATTCACTCAAACAATTTGTTCAAACACGCGGATTCATTCAGAAACTAACCACGCAAAGTCTTAATGAACGAGTCACTGAATCATTCACTCAAACGATTCTTTCAAACACGCGGATTCATTCAGAAACTAACCACGCAAAGTCTTAAAGGGGTCATCGGATGCCCATTTTCCACAAGTTGATATGATTCTTTAGGGTCTTAATGAAAAGTCTGTTACATAGTTTGGTTAAAATTTCTCAATGGTAGTGTAAAAAACACCTTTTTTACCCTGTCTAAAACAGCTCTTTTCAGAGCAAGCCATTTTGTAGCATTTTCCTTTAAATGTTAATGAGCTCTGCTGACCCCGCCCCTCTCTTCCGAGCTGC